AGGTGGGCTTCATTGTTTGTCCCTGTGCACTTGGTTCCCCTTTCATCACAACCACATGCACCTTTGTCCCGTCCCGTCCTCTTGTCATGTCTTCATTCTTTTGTCTCTTGCGCGCGCACACGTGCACATTTGCCTTAACCTTAGTTTTACGCCTCCCCTTGGGGAGGCGTGTGTTTGTGCCCCTTGTAGTCACAGGGATTCTTTTGAATTGTTTTCTCTTACAGTGAGCAGGGGGCTCTCGGAGCCTGCATGAGACGAGAGCCAACGAAGACTCTCATGCAGTGCTTGTGTAAACGTACCTGCTTGGTGCACCTGGGCGCATTATAACACGCAGCTGGTGGCCACTTTTTCCTTTGTAGAGTGCTAATGCAGCTGCAGTCACGCACGGAACGCCGTCATCCTGTCGGACCGACCTCGACTTGAGTTTTTGGCCTCACTTCCTCTGACCCCCAGGCTCTTTAGGACTTTCCTGGACCTTTCAGGATTTGGGTTCTTAGGCTGGCGTGTGGCACCGCTGTCAAGTCAGTACGCATTTCTCTAAGCGTGTCAACTCCTGTCTCTAAGGACTTCGACCACACTAAGGATTCCTACCTGTTAAAGCACATAATTTATTCATTGTTGCCAGACTGTGTACAGCAGCAGGGGGCACAATACCAGGCAGGATACATTGTCGCCTGCTCAACGAAGCTGGCGATGTGTCCGAGGAAAGGGAAATGGGACGCCATTTCCACGTACCTGCTGAATTGTTGACCTTCTCCTCCGCTGTGGTTTGTTTCCATGGTGTTTGCATGATATTCCCCTAAACCTTTTGTGCACGGCGTTCATCCGATCTGCTACGTAGTCAGTAACTAGAATCCGGAACTTCACCAACTGATACTGCTCTTGCGAGCCCTTATATATCCAAGTGTGTACTGTATGTATGCTTCTACTTTTCCGACATTGTGTTCGTACTTGTTGAGATTCCTCGTAACAATTCGGACGTTGTCGGTATGTCTGCTTCATATGTGCTTTTGCATTTTGAAATAAAACCATAAACCCAGAAAACAGCAAGCTTGAGAACTTATATTGTCTCAAGAATAGCTGGCCTTGCAGTTTTCCTCAACATCTCAAAATGATAATTGGTGAAAATGGAGAAATCGAAATCATGTCTAAGAAATTCTGTTTCGTGGCCGTCAAGAGAACACATCGTGTGAACGGGCGCCAAGGCATTGGCGCCGGCATTGTCCCTGTGGTGTGGTTGCTTTGGACGTTCCACGTCAGTGCCTAAGTGACAGAAAGAAAGCGTCACCAGCACCATGAGTTCCACATCACTGACCAGTTCAAGGTTCACCAACTCAAGTTGTGGACATACTGAGGTCGCAATTCGATAGAAACAATGTAGGCCTCAGGTCTTCCACAGCTTTTCATCAGGACTCGGAGATTCCGTTTCACGCGGCGTCAGGACTCGGAGATTTCTCCGTAAGAGTTCTAAGTTCTGCTGCCAGCTGCTGCATGGTCAGTCCAAGGCCGTAGAGAAAGCAAGCCACTGAGATGATGAAAACCCATGCACGACCTTGAAAAATGCAATGAGACACCATGTAGGTGAACATGGAAGCCAAGGCTGTAAGGGCGCTGCTCATCCGAATCGGATATCGCCTGGGACTAAAGTTTGCTTCAATACTGGCCTTCCCAAAATGCTGCCACATCTTTTGCTACTGCCATGAAAGCTAAGTGACTGCAATCATGGACCTCCGTGTATTTCCAGTGTTCCCTCCCGGGTTCCCGGCATGAAGGCAAAGAGAATCATTGGACAAACAACAAAAAGTAAGACCGCTAGATTCCAGACCTGATCGCTGATTGCCAAAGCTCCCTTCTGGCAATTGATCAATCGCCAATCAAAAATGCAACAGCTCACAAGCTCATACAAGCTCCACACCAAAATTGCTGGTGCCAAGGTAAATGCCAACCTTGCTGCGAACACGCTGGCAGCACAGTTGTTCACTGGACCACTGCAAAACAAACTGTTTGACCCGTTTTTGTTGTTTTGCCTTGAGGCAACTGGGAATTTCACCCCATTCCCAGCAAGCGTGTTGACAAATGTTCTGTCGTAGTTAGGCGAACCAGCGGCCTTTGTCTGTCAAGGAGTTGAATCATGTCAAAATTACAGTCTCATCCACATCTATTGGACCAATTCACGGTACCTTCTGCCTTTAGCTTTGATTCAATCCCAACAAATTCCTAAGAGATCCCCACAAAAGTCCGAAGTGTTGTCCATTTCTCAAGTCAATCACTACAAGCATTCCAAACTCTCTTGCATGCAGGGCCAGGCCAGCCTATATCCCGCCAGCACTTTCCAGACTGAGCGGATGCAAGGACAGTGCTGATTTACGCCGGACACATCCAGGATGAAGTCCTTGTAGCTTCGTGGGTGACTTTGTAAGATTGCAATACCTTGAAGCTTGCTCAACAATACGCACTGTTTCTTCAACCAGATGGGGCGATTGAGGTGTTGGCTATTTCCAAAGACTAGAAATGAATGACTTTGACTTTGAGCAAGCCGAACAAGTTTCTACCAGCATGCCAGTCTGCTAAGTATATGTAAGCTTAAATACTCCGGGGCAGTCCTTCTGTGTCTGGCCAATCAGCGCCAAATCATGAATCGTCACACCCAACCATGCAACAAAGGTCAAAACCAGCCAAAGCAAGGCCTCAAGGAAGAGCAAAGTGGTAGACCCAACAAACCACAATAGAGGATGCGCAATGTCACATAGTTGCTGCTCAATGTGTCACCCTCCGATGACACTGGTAAAATCCACTTCTATTTCACCTGAGCACCTGGCCCAAACACCAAGAAGATCGTAGTATTGACCACCGGAACCTCCCATGGCCATTGCAAGCCTCAACAGGGCTTTCTGCGACGAAATCGTTCAAACGGGACAGTTGGTCTTCATGGTCGTCCATGAACAAACCACTTGTTCACTCCATCTGGTCATATCTGGTCATAACAAATCTGGATATGCAAAGAAGTCCAGTGATCGTGAGTGCGATACATCTTGGGTCCCTGACGGCCGGTCGAGATCTTGGGTGCGGAGCTTCACATCCCTGGGTTCGGAGGAAAACATGCAAACGCGACAACGCGAAGCGTCCACTTGGACAGATTGGTAAACATATATGATATATGGAACATGATATGGTAACCAGGTGTAACCTGATTCTACATGAAAAGGACTGAGACATGGATGGTAACATGGTGCACGAATGGTTGTCACCATCATGAAAGTCAAGTTTGGGTGAATCTCAATGTCTTTCCGTGCCTACAAGCGAGATCCAGATCTGCCGCTTGGCAGGAGTACTGTGCAAGGAACTCCTGACAAAACTTAACGATGACAAAGTGCGATCAATCGCCTTGTTGATCAATCTGATTATCCTAGCGATCTCAAGACATTGTCTCAGTTGCTTTCACCCTACCTTCTCATCATATCTTTCTTGAGATCTCTATCTGTCAGATGCTTTGGGATTCAAAACAAATATCTCAATTCATTCTTCGGAAAGCGGCTGAGACTTCTCCCTTTTTCTCCCTCCTCGTTGTGTCCAGGAAGCTGAAAATGCACCTCATCCTGCACTGCAAGTGGTGCTTTTGAGGGTCTCCACCAGACCATGACTACGTGTGCGTTTCTGTACCCAGTTTCTTCTTGCTTCCTCCCACCAGGCCTCAGGGTTGCTCCAAGTGCTCAAGGCAAAAACCTGAGAGATGTCAATGTCACAGGTGTACCTGGTCGCAGCTTTGATCTGAGTGTCCCTGCTTTGTCATAGCGCTGAGGCCATTCCGAGAGGCAAGTCACTCGTTCGGAGGTGGGCTCATTCAAATTCAATGAAGAGACCTCGAGATTGAACACTTTTTTTGGCCCGGGGGGGTAGGCCATAGAGGGAGGTAGTAGCTAGAGGTAGCTAGTAGCTAACAAGCAGCTACTACGCACAGGACGCAGGATAGCTCACGCTTCTTCAAGGAAGCTCCCCGCCACCCTAAAGGCGACGGCGGGAAGCTTCCTTGAAGAACTGCTCGCACTAATGATTTGGTTCCGTTCGTAGCGATGCCCTTGCTCCGTTCGTAGTAAGGCCAGGAGCCCCGTTCGTAGCTTCTAGCCGCTAGAGATTTGGTTCCCAAATGTTTAGGGAAACTTAAGTTCAATTCTCCAATCTCTATCCGTCAACCTTTCGATCTTCCAAGCTGCATTCATTCCTGACATGTAGGAATATAGGGACAGCCCCAGCGTTCCCGAAATGAAGCTGAAAAAGACCACCTGACGCCCAGGCCATGACAGCTCGAAACGTCGAGAATCCGTCGAGGTCAACTGCCCTGAGCCTTCACGCGGGACGGCCATCTTGGTCTGGCACCACACCTGCACAACTCCACTCCCCACGGAGGTCCTGCATCTACATTGGCAATTCCACGTTGGGATTTCGTGTTTGGCCAAATGGAATTCTTCCGAAAGCACCTTCGTGCCCACATAGACCTTGAAGGGAGGTGATGATGAACATGAACAGATCAACAGTATGAAACTTGTGACAATCAAAGGCCTCTAAGGCCTCTGAGGCCCGTTCCCTGCTGTGAAGGCAGGTCTACAACAGCCCAAACCCTTTGGCTGGAGCTAAATGCCGTGACTTGACATTTCGCGTGGTGTTTCAGTTGATTTGGTTTCTGCAAAGAGATCAATGCAGCAAACACATGTGTTGACTTGCTTGGCGGTGGTAGTTGCAATGGGGCTCTTCGGTGAAACTGTGAGCCGAGAAGGAGGGTGAAAACACGTGATTGCGCTCAAAACTGGACTGACTACACTAGCTCCTGACCCTACTACTAGGAGCAAGGACGCTACTAGGGGCTCCTGGCCGTACTACTAGGAGCAATGTTCGCTACTAGGGGCTCCTGGCATCGCTACTAGGAGCAAGGACCCTACTAGGAGCCAGGAGTGCTCGTTAAACGATGAATTAATGGACAAGGTTGAAGCTGCAGCACATGAGGCCTTCATCTGCCCCGGGCCATCAGGGTTCCCGTACCTGGCGCTCGGTAGATTTCCCTATTCTATCCCAGCAGTATTGGGATTGCTGGGGACTTGTTCTGCCTTCGACTTTACAAACATTGCATGAACAAAGAAGGTAATAGCACTCGGACCTACCCGGACCCCTTATTGGCCCTATTGAAGGGGGCCTGAACTGAACACCACGCACAGCACATGGATGCTGCTCGGCCGAAGAGTCAGCCCTGGCGGCACTTCTCGTAGTTCTTCCGAGCGGCCTCATCGGTCAAAGCAGCATAAGCCTTGGAGACCTGAGGAAGAATGGGCGCTGCCACAGCCCAAGACACGGCTCGGAACGTGCCAGGCGGTGTGCACACACTCCCTCACCTGCTGAAATAATGCTGGAGCCAATGGGTTATCTTTGTCCTCACAACCACAACTTCTTTGTTGGAAAAATGCACTGGCTCAAAAGGATCGGTCATGAGTCTGGAAGTTTCGATTTACATTTGGCTGGCGTCTCTCTCATCTTCTCTCCTTGTCCGGATGATGCTGGAGAGACTTGGTGCGATAGGCCTGGCAAACCAAGGGGACAAGCTGCAACCGATCGGGTGTGATTCGTTCACTTCCAAGCCTTCTTGATCTCCCGCAGCTCTGCACCCCTAGATACCTGTCTGTCGAATGCCAGGGGATTGCATAGCGTCGCATGGCATAGTCATGTTCGGATCTGAGTTTGCTCGTCCTGACCTCCAAGATTTGGTAAGGGTCGAAGGTGCGCAGTTCTGTGGGAGCGTCCTCAGTCGCAGAGCCAGACTAATATGATCTAACATGTAAAGATCTTGTCAATTTGTCCACCTTGAGCTCAGCAAGTACCCGCATCATCAGTGACCTGCGCTATCACAACTTGAGACAATTCTCTGCAGCTGCTGAATCAGCAGGTAGCAGTTCTCTTTACCTTCCACAAATTCCCGCACCAGCCAATAGCAAGCCCGACGATTTGCACCAAGTTGAGACCACGAAACCTGGCGAGAAGTTCAGAAGATCTCTTTGATTGAGAAGATATTGTCAGAAAAAGTGGCAAACAATAAAAAGAAATGTTACAAACTCCCCAAAAGATGTTCCTGTTTCCTTCTCTGGCCATCCCACCTTGTGGCTTTCGCAATCTTCAAGGAGTTTTGTCGTCTGGCCTTTCCACAAACAACAAAAAACTGCAGAGCAATACAAGTACCTGAATATCATAAGCATTCAAAACCTCATATGAGGTTGCTTCTCTTTAGAGGATACCACCTTGCTTGCTCTGTCCAGTGCTGTATTGAGCGAGAAAAGGAATGTATATATTTACTCATGACCCATAAGTATATAAGAGCAAACGATGCCCTTTGCTCCTAGTAGCGTCCTAAACAACCAAAAAGAAACGTGGTCCTCCAGAAGACAATTTGGAGCCTCCATGAAGGAGGTCTTACAAAGCCGCACTTCACAACCTTCTGGCTTTGCACTTCCTCCAGACTCGAAGTCCAGCTCTGAAGATGGCCTTGCCGTTGCCCCGAAGGATGCCGAAGGAGTGCAAAGAACAGAAACGAACTCTGCCCCGCCAGTTTGGTAGAGAAAAACCTGTGAACTTACCCTCTCACACACGTTTTTGGACCAAAGCAAACGTGCCGTGCCTTGGACACAGTATAGTTTTGATCAAGAAATAGGTCCAAGGCACCAGGACAACCTCTGTGGCTGTCGACAAACGAGGCTTGGAGACAAACTTTCTGTGGCTTGGACGCTAAGGACTGTCAGTGCCTTGGAATCACAAGACCAAACCGTCTCAAGACGATGCTACTAGACTCCACTAGATCATGCACGCAACCAAAAGAAGGGCCCCTGGCGGCCCTGGCGTTCAAGATTCTAAGCTCCGAACAAAGTACAGAAAGGCATGACTATCGTAACTCAAAAGTTCCTCATTCTGCTTCTCAAAAATCCTGTCACAGGAATTTGGCGGTGCTGGCTCAATGCCATTCAATGCCTAGCTCTGAAACGTCTCCAGCTCTGTTGCCCAACAACTGCGCTTTTAGGCGTAAGCGGCCAGCGGTACCGGCGCGTTTCGTCAGGTGACACACTATGGACTTGGGCGAGTTACAAGGCCAGAAGTCGTGAAAAAGACAGAAAACAACCATCAAAATTGATGAGACACCCAAAAAAGTCGGCTGCTGAACCCAACATGTCTCGAGGATTGTGCCCTAAGGTAAGCCTTTAGCCAACGCCTTCAACTCCTTGTCTCGCCCAGCCCCGACATTGGTGCGAGAATGATTCCCTGCGCTGAACAGACCCAAAACTTTTAAGAGCTTCCTTTTCAGGCTTTCCAGGAATCGAAGAAGTGGGAGGAGGGAAAGGTGTTCTGTATCGGTTTTCTTGTTTCGGGCCACGTGACACGAAACCGCTGATGGGATACATCTGAGGGTCGGTTGGCGACATGGAAATAGATCCGATCTTCAACTGGCTGAGCCGGCGAACTGATCCGCTTCGAGAGGTTCCACCTGGGTCCAAAAACAATTGATTGAACTGAAAGGAATTAAGGCCTCCTTGATGATCTACCTGCCTCTTGCTTCAACCTTCCTTTGCGAGACACTGTTGCGTGGGGTTCGTTCAGACTTGCCTATCTTCGTGAGGTCCCAAAACTGAAAAACCGTGTACAAGTAGCAATGGCCTCCAACCTACTAGCGAAAGCCTCCAACCTGCTAGCAATGGCCTCCAACATAGTAGCAATGGCCTCCAACCTACTAGCGATGGCCTTCAACCTGTAGTCGCAATGGCCTCCAACCTACTAGTGATGGCCTCCAACCTAGTAGCGATGGCCTCCAATCTGTTAGCAATGGTTTCCCACCTAGCAGCGATGGCCTCCAACCTACTAGCAATGGAGCGATGGCCTCCAACCTAGTAGCGATGGCCTCCAACCTAGGCTGGCCTCCAACCTACTAGCGATGGCCTCCAACCTAGTAAGCGATGGCCTCCCACCTAGTAGCGATGGCCTCCAACCTACTAGCGACGGCCTCCAACCTAGTAGCGATGGCCTCCCACCTAGTAGCGATGGCCTCCGGCCTACTAGCGATGGCCTCCAGCCTAGTACAGCGATGGCCTCCCACCTAGTAGCGATGGCCTCCCACCTAGTAGCGATGGCCTCCAGCCTACTAGCGATGGCCTCCAACCTAGTAGCG